GGAAATGCCATACCATAAAAGAATTACAATTTAAACTAACTTACGAGGCAATATAATGAAATAAGTAATTAACTTTCCTTCCACTTTATGATACAATAATGAATCATTATATTTGAACAGCTACAGCATACTGTAGTAAAGCCAAAAGATTTATTAGAAAAGGACATTAAAATGACGTTCGGTTGAATCGCTGGGAAAGAGGAAGTTGGCTTATAATGATGCCCACTTTAATGAGATATTAACTGAAATATCTTGACTTGGATTTTTAAAGGTTGACACTTAAGTGTTCCTAAAAAGTGCAAAAGTCGTGACATCACTAAGCACTCAATCTCCCTTAATCCTGACTTACGGCCAATGTACTAATAATTTACTTGTTTAAATTTAGAACACTGCGTAGACCTTTTAGGGTGTGAAGCGACATTTGTCAATGATGATTTCGAAAAAGATTTATCATGCAGGATTATTCTTGAAATAACTAACTCAAACCTGAACAGTAATTATTACAGACAAAAGCTATTCTAACTTAAGATTAAGATTAAACTAAAGCATATACTATGTAAATAGTTTTCGTTTCTCAACTCAAAGTTTTTAAATTTCTACAAGGAATTAAGAATGTCGATCGTTCTAAAAATGTATGTAGAAACTCATGTAGACAAATAATTTGTCCTACTCAAATAGAATTGTGTATAAATAGATTCGTTTGAATGATTCTATATTACGACTAAATATTTTTCAAGAGCAACAGTGCATGTGATTAAGGGATGGGACATTATATTCGTCGCTTTTGTCCACAATTGTCCTTGTTATGTGGTCTGTGGTTGAAATTCCTCAATCCCAAAAACGATATATTGATCCTTATCACTTTGAAATAAGATGCAATTTGATAAAGCATTCAATAAACGTTGTATTGAGTTACGCAAACTCAATACCGTTGCCTAGGCGAAAGCTGATCTCTTTCGGTGACATCCCCAGAAGTAAAGTACGTAAAGGATTATCAAATGACAATGAAAATTTTTTCATATCTCATGTGCATTCTGTGATACAAGACACAGTAGAATGCTATTAAATTGCGCATGGATCTTTTGTCAATCCATACGGCATTTTAGTAGCAGATGGCTCTTTTATAAGAACACGAGATTTGAGTAAATAGAGTAATGAACTTTTTTTTTGTAGTGATTTAATTATCTGGGATTTGCTTGTAATCTTATATGTTCAAGCTTGCGTTCAAAATTTGTAGCGTATTCGAACCTTATTATGTAAACATTCTACTTTTTCTGAAACTTGTTCGACAAATAAGTGAGTAGAAAATGTTGTTAAAGTTCGATAATAAACTCCAAAGACAGCGTTTAGTGCTGTTATTAGATAATAAATCGTGTTGTTGTAGTTTTGCAACATTCTTGTAAACAAGAATGTTTTAAGTAAATGTTTATTTATTTTGTAGGTGCTATAGCTTTGTTCTATCTAATTGTATCTGTGTTGTATCTAATTGCTACAAAAGTAGGTGAAGAAATTCTTATAGAGCATACATATATGTAAATAATCATGATACCTTTATTTTATAACTAGTGACTTACCCTCGTTTAGCTCAGGTGCGTAACTAGGTACGTAGAGTTTCTACAGCTGAATATGTAGATCTTTTTAAGAGAAATGTGTTACATTGAATGTATTACATTGTTTTCATATAACTCTATTGGTTTACGCGGCGCACGGCCAGTAGAGCTCCCAGTTGTTATGGTTTTTTCCGACATCTTCAAGAGTCATTGTCATATTTCAGCCAATTTACACAAAACCTTTATGAATTATACACATAAACCTTACTTATGACTCACTCTATCCATTGACGGAAACCGTATTAAAATCTGTTCGTTAGTTTTTCAGTTTATCGCGTTCAGACAAAAAATAAGTTTATGTGTATAATTTTAAATGTTCGTGTCTCGTTGTCTTTGCATTACATTATTTTTTTAACAAATTATTAATCAATGTAAATAATTACAAAAAAATTTTTTTAATATTTTAACGAAATGAAATAATTGATTTTTATTTCTTTTTGTAAACGCGCTAATTTCTAGAGTTAATAGGTTTTATATGATTTTTATGATATTTTATAGCCTATTTATTGAGGAATGTTATAATATTATGCTTTCCAACAGAGCTGTTAAAGATAAAGAAACTACGACTATTCGAGCGGAGTCAAGGGCAAAGGTATGCTAGTTATATACATTATTATAATCTAAATACATGTGACACATTTTTAATCAATTTAATTTTATGTTTTACAACCGAATATATTAGAAATCTTGAGAATGTCCTAAATTCTTTTAACTTATCAGTTGTTTCATCATGATAGCTGTTGAGAAAATTCATTTTGTGATATTTAAATAGAAAACAGTTTTTAGATTAGTTATATAAATATGTAACTTACAGTGTCTCTCTAACTTTGGGATTCCGCTTATACCATCTATTTCTACTAATCGTACAAATTATGAAACGAATCTATAACATTTATAAATTTTCAATCTATATTATAATATGTATTATATAAAAATCAATTGCCGTTGCCGTAAATAATTATTTTTTTGATTATGTTGGGGGTGTGTCTGCGGTGGTTTAAGTATAAAAAAATAGGGAAAACCCAAAAATAAACAAACAGCTGGAAAATCAAAAGTTCAGAACTGTTTATCTTGTACCTATGTATATATGTATAATAATATATAGTCTATCTATTCCATACTAATCGTTAAAACGTATCTAGGGATTAAGCTGAGCGAAGCGAGGGTAAGTCGCTAGTATAAGTAATATATATAATATACCTACCTACCTAACTGTGTACAGTGAATTGGAATATTAATTTTAGATTAAACATTCCTTCAATACCGTGCAACTTTTGTCCCCAAAAGTTAGTAAAGTTGATATCAGAGATAAATCTATTTATTTAGCGAGCTTTAGGTTACTAAACCCTAAACTTAAGTTATATTTGCGGTTTCCAAACGTCAATACAAATTTACACAAGTTCAAAACAAAATTTTATTTTAGTAACCTCAGTTAACAACTAATTTATATAATTAATTTATGTTGTAATGTCTATACTTGTAATTTGATTAAATCATGTGCTTACTGCTATTGATTTAAATTTGCTTCGCCCGTAAAATATCACAATTTTATCAAATAAGTCTACATTGCGTGGCAAATTGTTTTCGAACGGTCATAAACACTACAAAAGAAATAAATACATTTACTATGTTACCGAAACTAAGTGTCCATAGATATCATGACAAGTTTAAACAATTTTAATCGACCGCGAGCGTGTCTAATCTCCGTCGTATATCTAGCTTTATTCATGTGAGAGGCATAAATACCTATCTATCTGATAAAATCACGCAACATATCGTCCCTCTCTACATTTGGACTAATAAAAACAAGTTTTCCCATTATTTCTATGCTGACCCGTCCACTGTCGTTTTGATAAGGGTGTGGACGTCAAAAATAACCGATGTTGATTTGATTTTGATTCGTTCTCACTGAGATAATGTTGTAAAAGAAGATTTCAGGATATAAATAAAAATACACACTATCTGCAATTTGAAATCAATTTAGCCTATACTTTAGTATAAAATGACGAATGATTGACTTTAACAATATTACTATATATGAATGAGCTTAAGGTGCAGTTTTTTTTTCTGTAAATAATATTTAATGCTTTTTAAATGTTACTTAAAAGCAAATAAAGCATTTTTTTAGGTAATTTTAAATTTTAAAATCGGTAAATCTACTTATTATTGAAATTCAAAATTTTTATTTTATATTACATTTTTTTATTGAAAGTCGAAAATCTATTGCCACTTCGGAAAGAAAAAGCATCAGTACTGAGAAGAACTGGCGAAAGAAACTCAGTGGGACTAAAATTAATTTTTTATATGTTTTGGTTAAAGTAAAATATAACTCATGGTATTTACTTTTTAGATTAAACGTGTACGTTGTATCTTTAATGTAGTTATTCTACCTTTAATAAGCTTAATCTATTTCTATCTTACAAAAAAACTTTACTTATTTAGCAAAACAATAAGAAAATCTATTATGAAACTATGTAGGTATATATATTGATAAAGCTTTGTAGTATCGGATAAACTTTCAGTGTTTAGTTTAGTCGACAAAGTTTTAGTGTACCTATTTATAGAAATAAACGAAAGTTTCGCTATACCAGAACATTTTATATTGTATATTCAATATTGTATATGTAACCTATACTATTGCTTTTTAAGAGTATCCATTTCTAAAACTTAAATTGTACTATTTAAAATTTTAAAATGGCTATTTGTATTAGAAATTTTTATTTGGGCATTCTTAAAATTCATGGATTATTTTGTTTTATAAAAACTTTTTTAAACAAAAAAAAAGAAATAATAATAAATGTGTATTCTGTTTTTTTACAGAAATTGTTCAAGAGTTAAACCAATAGAAACAATGCAAATAAAATAAAAAAAAAACAGGAGAAAGAAATAAAACAAAGCAAATTAAAAAATGAAATCTTTATATTTCACATGTTCTTTGATAATCTTCTCTTTTCAATTATATACAAGTATATACAAGAGTTAAATATATTTATTTACAAATTTGTAATAGTATAGTTTTATTTTTAACAGACTATAATATAAATGCGATAAACTTTGTACAATATGCTTATAAGTTTATAACTTTGGCATGATATAATTTAAGCGATATTTCATAATAAAATTCATGAAGTAGGAGGTACTTAATTAGTATTTTACAACGATCTATTGAATAGTTCTATCTATTTATAAATTATTATCGCAGCAATCAGGAAATTGATTAATAAATAACTATAAAAACTAGTTTTCAAAATGTACAAATAAATGCATACTTATGGCTTGACTAATTAAATATACAATAAATACATTGAATAACTTAGAACAATTATCACTTTATTGGACTAATACGCAAAAGCGTCGCAGATAGGTTTACCTGCGTTGAAGCATACGCTACGCCCAGAGCTGGGCGTGGGGTGGCATGCGTGGGTCGCGCACGTGCAGGCCGGCGGGCGATGCCAGCCGCTCGGCCAAACCGTCTGCTAGCAGCGGAGGCAGCTTGCCCGGAGGTGGTGGGGGAGGCGCAGGCGCCCGCCCAGCCCCCACCGGTGACACTGACGCGTAAATATTCACTGTCGACCGGTGATATTGACACTTCCGCAAGTCCGGCATCGCAAACCTTAATTTTTGCCAAAATTGTCTATCTCCCCACTCGATACACGTATTCGCTTTCAAACACAACCTCAACTCGGGATCGATATCCCGTTTCGGAAGATCACCTAACAATATTATTATCAGTCTTCTTCGTCTCTCTTTTAACACTTCGTGTAATGCGGTTTTGAATTCAAATCGACACCACTCGTTATTTATGAAATTCTTAGAAAGGACTATAATAGTTCGTTTCGAAGATTCTACAGCTTCAATAATAGTATCGGCTACGTAGGTTGACGCGTTAAAGTCACGGTAATGTAGGCAGAGCCGGAAACTCGGGTCCGTTGATTCCAGACCGGGCGCTAGCATCTGAGCGACGAATGCTTCGTCTTTTACGCTATAACTAATGTAGGCGTCGAATAACCTATCCTTGTCGGCTTCCTCGTCGAAAGTAGTACTTTTATAGCACATTCTGAATCCACAGTGGTAATAAATCCATACTCTTAGCTCTCGACGCCAGTAAAATATTCCACATATTAAAACGGAGCTCAGAATAAATACAAAAAGTGATATTAATAGTAATGGCAGATAATCATTTATTACTTGGTTTTCAATTATAGACGAGCTTCCACCGACGTGACTTGTACAAATTGTAGAATTAAAATCTGACATATGGGGCCCGACTGCGTTCGTTACGTTGTCAAATACGCATGTGATTTTATCGGAATCTTCAACTTTGCCTATATTATTCTTAAACCAATTTCGAAATTTGTTCATATACTGACAGTCGCAAGACCAAGAATTACGAGAAAGACTTATTTCTACCAAATACGGATTCAACGTGAATTGCCATACAGCGAAGCTATAAATATTATTTCCCTCCAATCGCAGTACTTCTAAATGCCTCAACTCCATGAACGTGCGATTGTCGATATAGTATATTTTATTGTCTTGCAGATGTAACTCACGTAAATTCTCAAGGGGTGATAATTCAAAGCCTAGCAGCTCTTTTATGTTATTTTTTTCTAAGTGTAACACAGTTAAGCGTTTTAGTCCACTAAACGTATTATTATAAAGTGCATCAATATTCGAATTGTTCGCGTATAATATTTTTAAATTTTTACGGCCAATAAAAGCGTGACTTGTTAAACCACCAAAATTATTGCCATCTAAATATAGTTCAGTAGCGTCCATAGGTATAGTGTTAGGTATTTCAGAGTAGCCGGCAGCGGAACAGTCCACAATATTCGCTGACCACGGCTGGTCGTGATAACACGTACAGTTCAATGGACACGTCATTTCACAATCACACGCGTCAAAATCACAACAATGGCACAATGTAAAACAGTGAGTTTTGTATGTACACAGAAACTGAGATGATTCCGCTTCGATGAGTGGAATGTAAGTTCTTTCACGGTTGTACAGTAACTTACAATATATACTTTCTAAGTCCATAACTCTAGGATGTTGTCTCAAGTGATCGAGCTTGTTGATACGTTGTAACCACTCCATAGTACAATCACATTGAAATGGATTTCCACCAATATAAAATTCGGGAAGAGGTCTTCCTGGATCAACTGGAGTCAAACGCAACGCATTAAGGTCCATACTAGTTATCTGATTTGCATACAAATCGACTCTCGTTAAATTGGTTTTTCCAACAAAAGTTTGAGCTTCAACTTGTGTAATTTGATTATCATTCAAGAAAAGCAGCTCAATACTGCTGGGAATTGAAAAAGTGGATATTTTTGTCATTTTATTAAAGCTTGCGTCTAACGTTTGAAGTCGCAGTTCTTTGTCTAAACGATAGTTATTGCTTAATTCTTTGATGTTATTGCTGTGAACGTCTAACCACTGTAGCCCCGAGGGAATCATAGTATAATCAAACCATTCTATTTGGTTATCTGACACGTTTAACCACAACAAAGTAGGTATATTTACAAAAAGTCCTTGAATATCAGTGAGTCGGTTAGCATCTAATCTTACGGCTTGTAAATTTGTTAAAGTTTCAAAAGCATTTACATCGATGTGCTTTAACTTATTACGTGCCAAGTTTAAAATTTGTAACGTTGGCAAGTCTGTAAATACGTCTTTGCTTATATTTTCAATTTTATTGCCAATAAGCCGTAGCCCATATACATTATGTAAACCGACAAAGCCGGGTTCTTCCAATGAAGTTATCTGATTCTCACCGAGATCAAGTGTTCTTAGTAAGCGCATATTTCGTAGCGCTATGGGCACTTTCTTTAAGCGATTTCCATTTAAATTCAAATCTTGCAAAGAGGAAGTATTTCGAAATGCCTCGGGGTGAAGTTCTTCTAGATGGTTGTTATCTATAGATAGCAGTGACAGTACATACAAGCCATTTAAAGCGTAGGCATCGATATGTGATATTTTATTATATGATAAAATGAGAGTATGCAAATTATTCATCGGTGCAAATGTGTCAGCTGCAATGGATTCCAACATGTTGTGTTGTACGTTTAATATTTGAAGCGTGTAAAGATCTTTAAATATTTTAGGGTCCAATTTGGTTAATCTATTATTTGATAAGTTTAAAAGTACCATTCTTATAAGACCAGTAAAAGTGTTTTCATTAATCCAAGTGCTTGTTAAATGGTTATTAGACAAATCTAACGCTAACAGCTGATCTAAGTTAGCGAAAAGACTCGGTGAGAGTACACTTATAGAATTATTTTGTAAATATATCTCTTTAATCACTGGTCTGCAATCTCTAAACAAATCTTGTGGTAGGGCGACTATCTTATTATTTGATAAATCTATTATTTGCAATTGTTTCAACCCTGATAGAGCTTTGTCAGCAACCATAGAAATTTCATTATCGTGTATATGGAGCTCTTTGAGTCTCCGTAAAGCCATAAAACCATTTTCTGGCATAAGCACGAAATGATTGCTTGACGCATCTAGCACTTCTATATCTAAAGAGCACGAGGAATGAGGTAATGTTGAAGTGGATGGTGATGGTCCTTCATGTTCACTAATTAGAGCTTGGTGCATTGCTCTCTCTCTAAATCCTAAGTCACTTACATCTTGTAGTCTATTTGAAGAAACGTTTAAATACACTAAGTTTGTCAAAGGACAAAATAAGTTCTCAGGAAACGACCAAATATTATTGAAACTCAAATCCAACTTTTCCAACTGACGAACAGCCGTAAAGCTTTCCGATGCGATCTCTAAACTCATTGCGGCCCATTCTGTGTTCTTGGTCCTAATCGTTAAATTTCGTAGATCTCTCAAGCCGGAAAGTACGCCAGGCGGCCATCTTCCAATTTTACAGTTATCCAAAACAAGTTCACGTAGTTTGATCAAATGCGCAAAACTACGGTCATCTAATGAACTTTTATACATCATTTCTTCATTACATTCTATTCGCAACGAAGTTGTATGCTCTGATGGTATGACACTAAAATTTGTAGTGTCGAATTCACTATTTATAGTACGGAGCTTGCACGTGAGCGAAACCTCGTGAGCATCGTTTGGTCCTCGTAGCCACCACTGACAATCATCAGGAGCTTCATATTTGAGTGGTAATGAGCTCTGATCAGCCACATGTAGTCCAATAACAAACCAAAATAGAACTTGGCTAAAAATTGTATTTCTTGAATATAATCGATGAATAGCCATATTTGAAGAAAATAACTATCAAGGAAGAGGGAAAACAAAGCACAATTGGCTCAGTGTCATGTTTTTTCCGACGGCATGCGTTTGTTGCGTCCCCTTGCCGGATGTAAAGAATCCATCAATTTATTAACCAATTTTAGTAATAATCTCAACAAACAGTTCTTATACGTATGATGCACATATTAAATAGTTTTTTATTCACAATAATATGTCCTTGGTGATGTAAACAATAATGTAACATAACTGTCCACTTTACAATATTATCACAAACGTCACTTAAACGCTATTTAATAGATTAAACAAGGCTTGTTAAAATCTATTTAATCGTTTTTATTTTCGAAATTTTGGTGTTCATCGTCGAAAACGCGTATATAATCGTAATTTTACTAAAAACGTTCGTCCGAGCAGAGCGTCGACCGGCGCGACCGAGCCTCGACGCTGCGTAGAGTCAACTAAATGTGAGTAGAGGTATTGCAGTCGCGTAGAATATACGCTTGGCAGGGAGAGGGGTGCGGGCTATGATGAGCCGACTGGTGGCGAATGTTCACGAAGACTTATTACAATAAATTATTTTTTACGAAGCTTTAAGAGATTGGCCGCACGTATATCAGCTTGGACTTTGAATGAATGTAGGCATCAGCTGTTTAAAAAAGTCAGAGGAAGTTTGAAATTATTATGGTATATTCTTGTATAGTATATGAAGTTGTTAATTGATTTAATGATTATGTTATTAACGATTAAAAAATCTCGTAAATAGATTTAATTTAATGGAAATTGAAGAGTGTATTATAGTAATAATATTAAAAAGTACCTTCGTTATTTAACACAATAATATTTTTACGTTTTCAAAGTTTATCCACTAAATTTAAATAATACATAATTCGACACTTTAATAGTAACTGCCTATTCCTTCATATTGCAACAGCTCAACAAATATAAAAGAAATTGGAAAGAGCTGATATCCATTAAAACAAGCAAAAATTAGTACCTAATATTACAGTCAAAACTGCTTTCCAGTCAAAACTATTTTTGACTGATTTTGTTCGTCAAAAGTAGTTTTGACTGGAAAAGAGTTTTGATTATAACAGTAATATATAATACGAAGATTTTTTCACTTGCGAAAATTTTAATTAAATTTACAATATGTAATGCAAGAAAGATAAAAAAAATGCAAGAAAGGTATATAGGCTTATGAAAAATAAATAAATACCAAAACCAAAATTTGAAAGACCAGATTTTTGGCGAAGTAAAAAATGAATAAATTGCGCAGTCTTTTTAGATACATTAACGTTGTAAAATGAAATTTCACACCAGGTGAGTAAATCTGTGAAGACAACAAAAGAAATCTAAGATTACGAATCAACCCTTTCTAAATTCTAAAGGAAAAATTAAAAAGTAACTATGGCATAAAGGTATTAAGAGCTTAATGTAACAAAAGAGTTCTGTTCACGCTTCGCGGACCACACGGCTGTTAGACGATGGAAGATATCATTTTAATCCTTTTAGTTAAGTTGACTATGAAAAGATAGACGTCTCCAAGGCATCGGTATTTTTCTTTTACTTAGCTGACGTTTATGCTTAGGAATAAAAGGATTATTAATATTTCAATGAGTTTAAATAGGACTTTTTAACGTCGCGACTTATACCGGAAAAGGACGCTTACCGCAACTCGTAAGTTATTTTATTAATTTATTTTAGTTGAGAATATTATTTACATTATTTTAATATCAATCGTAAAAAATATATTTTAATGATTATGTTATACTGTTTATTTCAGGATGAATTCAAATATAGATAGAGCTCTCTAATAGCTGTAGAAAAGTTTCTTAACGTTAAACGTCATAATTTACGTATAAGCCATTATGAACTGAAATTCATCTAAACAGATAAATAAAATTAAAGTGTCTGTTTGTAATGTCAAAATAACAGCTTCATATGCATTTACTAAATGCATATGAAATTATATACGGTACTTATAATAATAAGACCATTTTTTTTAAAATTGTGTCAGTTTGTTCTGGCTTATCTCCGAAACGGCTGGACTAATTTTGACGGGACTTGTACTGGCAGATAGATGTTATAAGGAGTAATTTAGGCTACTTTTATTATAGCAAAATACTTAGGGTTCCACTCAAAAAAATTAAAACGCACCTAGGGACGCACCCGAGCGAAGCGAAGAAGTAGCTAGTAGTATGTATTACACATAAACCTTTTTAAGATGAAAATCGCAATTTTAATTATGAAATACCTAATCATTTATTTAATATCGATAAAATTATAAAATACTATGTTCACTACAAAATAGATACATACAGGTAACATTTTATAACAAATTAAATCACATTTTTTAAAACTGTTTTAAACTTCTTATAAATATTTATGACATCCAAACATGCTTAGAAAAAATAAAACAAGTCGTTTCGAATAGTGTAAAAATTATTTATAACAAATCGCTAACCACCTCGTAAGATTCATTGACATAATATATTGCATTCACAAAAAAATATATGGCAAAAGCAACATACAAAATTTATTTTATTAATATTGTATATGGCAGAAGATAAATAGCTCCAACTAGCATAAAGAATAAATAACCAACCAATTGCCAGTCTTTGTTAACCTCCATTATTACATATAATTTATTATATGTTAAATATACCTAAATTTTATATTTAAATTGGATAGCATAAGATTTATGTATATTATTATGATTATATGTAACATATCATGATTATCATAACACATGTACATGTCACAGTGGATACATCATTTATTATAATTAAAGAAAAAAAGGCGGTGACGTAATTACTGAGCTAAATTATGTTTTTGGTAACATGTGTTGCTCTGTTGTTTCACAAAACATGGATGGCCGTTGAGTTTAGACTCTAAAGTGTTCAAATTCCGTCACTTCCCGAAACGAGTGACGATCAATCATAATATAAAATATGATTTCCACTGAAACTATAGCGCTAAAAGTTAAACAACTCATGTCTAAAGTCTATTAACTTATATTTATTATAATGTACAATTTTACAAACTCTTTCTTTTTAATTGAGCTGATTTCCTTAAGTACTTTTACTTTAGTAAAACATGGCGATATGTAACATATTTTCAAAAGTATAAAAATAATAGAAAAAAAATGTATAATGTGTATTTTTTTATTTTTAACCGACTTCAAAAAATGAGGAGATTCTCAATTCGTCGGAATCTTTTTTTTATATAAAATAAAGTTGCCAATATAACAAAAATCCACTCCACTTTAAAATATAGCTCTATCAGTGGAGAGCTTACATTATAGCTTATTAGTCTTTTTGTTAAGTCGATACGTATTGGAAACTGCGTAGGACGAAACAACTTTAAGAGCAATTTGTGACTATCAACTTTTAATCACTGTAAACAATTGATCACTGGCCCGTCACAATAATGACGGAGCGTTTATAATGTTTTTGGCATGTTGGTACACTGATTTATATTTTATCCAATCGAATATAATCACCTTTATTAATTGCTTAGGCAAAATAACGTTTTGAATGTTTTATAATGTATGATTTTTTATATTTTTTATATTTTATGTCAAATATCAGGTCTGAAAAATAATTTATTTTATCAATATTTTATTTTAGCTTTAGCCTTATTTATTAGTGACATCCTCTAAAGCTTCAATTAACCGTGTTCTTAAAATCTTTATGTAATATATTGTACATAAAAGGATATCTTTAAGAACATCTAGACATATAGTTAAACTATCATTGCCCGCGACTCCGCCTGCGTTCATATGATCAAAAATCAAATCCTAAGGTTTTACATATTAGTATACTCTTACAATGCAGTTTTTGTATTTTTTCTCAGAAATGAGATATTTTCCCGCGGTAAAAAGTATCCTATATATTGACCTGGATAACCAGCTATCATCATACTAAATTTCATTAAAATCTGTCAAGTGGTTTTCTCGTGATGCGGTAACAGACAGACAGACAAAAATTCTAAAAACTATAGATTCGGCCTCTGTATCGAAAATAATGACTATTATGATAAGATTTTCCAAAAAATATTTAATGCACAGATTCGACTTAGTTACAATTTTATTATATGCCCACCTTTGCAAACAATAACTACATTTAAATTACTGTATTGACTTTAAGTGCAATAAAAAATAGTATATATGTATAGATTTAGATTTTCGTAATAAAAAACTTATTATTTAGACAGTAATCGGAATATTTTTTTATTCTGACATTTTACTCTTTTTTTTAAACATTTCATTAAATGAGTATTTTAAAATTAAGTTAAAAGTGATTATTCCACCGTTAATTCTATTCACAATTAACAATGATTGGATTATATGCCATACGATACACAAATAACATTTATTTATTTATTTATTTATTTATTAGCTTTTCAAGGGAAACAAACAGTACAATAAAAAATTACATCCTAAAACATATAAAAGTAATGCTAAAAACCAACCAAGTTTCCACAGATTCACATACACCAACACCAACAACATACACTAGAATCAAGCAATCTATCAATTTTTCAAATCTTTAAAAGGTTTTAATTTTTTAGACTATTTTAAATAGTATAATTTTCATCATTTAATGATATATTATGTATTTAAATCATTTTAAATTCGAGGTATACATTTTGGATGTCTTTTGTCTGAATAAAATCTTATCTAGCTATGTCGAGAGCTTTTAAAATAAATAAATATGATCATATTTATTGAAGATTGTCTCTTGAATGGATAATAAATGTTTGTACGTATTACAATATTATTTAGAGCGAAATAAGTATACAAACACAAACTTTTACTTATAGTTATAAAAATACGTTTAAAGGTACAGTGATAATTATAATATATATATATATATATATATATATATATATATATATATATATATATATATATATATATATACATATATATATACAGTTTATAGCGTGACATTTATAGTTTGTTATACAATTTTATTTTCTATCTATATAAATAAAAATGAATGTTG